TAATTATATCTGATTCCATACCCTCGTATCTGATTTACCCTTTCTTAATTGAACACAGGACCACATTTTTATTTCAAGTTTTGAGAGTTGATGGACAAAATGGCTTGATTATGTTATTTCAATACATGGCTTGATTAATTTTTGGATGAAATTTTGCTTGGTAAAAGAAATATTACAAATTCTAACTGATTGTTTTTTCTTTTATTTTGGACTGTCGACTATGATGCTGTGGTGTCAGTTGCTAATTTGTTTTTTGTGGGATCACTAACCATTACATTTATTCAAGCCAAATGGTGTACCTTAGGAAACATGGCTTGAAGAATTATGTTGTTTGTAATTCATCATGTTTTTCTTGTACAAATTTGCTTAAACAGTAAACAAGCTGCTCCACAACTCATTGACTCAGTACACGTCTTTTCTTTTCTTTATTTCCTTGTTTTTCTCCTCACTTTGGAGGTGATTGATTAAAATGTATATTCCATGGGAAAAAGTTTATAAAAGGTTGCAACCTCTAAATCTAGAATTAAGGTGCACCTAAAAAATCCATCATAAATGATTGTTTTGATGTTGGAAAATCCTGTGATTGATCATATGGACATCGAGATTTATGAATATGAAAAGAGAGATGATTTCGAGTCCTAAAAATAGTGTATCTTGAAACATATTATCTGGACCGTCTTCAATTTTAGATTACAACTTTATATAAATGTTTTCCTCCAAATTATGAATCAGGCTTGGACTCACCGAAGTTCTTGGATAATAAACCCCAAATTGTAAGTGAATCCGACCCGATTACTTGAATTTTATAATATTTTGAATTGGGAAAGTTTACAAAAAGGCTATTTATTTATTTTACAAAAAAGTCACAATTATTCTTTTCAATCAGATTTTAAATCGGGTGGCAGTAAGAATGTCACTAATTAAACTCAAAAGTTTCAAAAAGAAATTTTCGAACTTTGTAATACATACTCAAGCCATCCAGTTTGAAAGTCAATGACCGAGAGTGATTGTGACTTTTTTGTAATAATGATAAACGGTCACATTTTGACAAACTAATGACAAATGGTCTTATAGAATACAATCTCAAATTAAATATTATAGTTTTCTTTCTAGAGCCGGCTGAACAATATAATGTCACTCATCACTTGGTTCAAGACCCTGGCCGGTTAAGGTTTGAAGGAAAGTAATAAACTAACTTGAGCTTGAATGATATAAGGGTCTTAACAACCCAAAACCAGTTGCAACTTGCACCAGTATTGTACCAAAAAAAAAAAAAAAAAGTTTGGCTAAATGAGTTTTAACTATAGGAAAACAAAAAAAAAAGGTACCAAAACCAACTATACCAAAACCAACTATGAAGGCTTTCCCATATGAAATATAAAACTGCCTTAACAATAGGATATTAAAAGGAAAAAGTTGATAGAACTTTGCAATCTTATTTGTAGGAGTACGGTTAAAATAAATTTTAAAGATGCCACTTTTTGTCAAATCTATAACCTCTAATTATAACGGTCTGTGTTGTGAGTTTCTAAGAACACCCATCTTAAAATTGGCCAAAAGATTCCTACTCTCGTGGATGTATAATATCTATTTCCTCTATTGGGCAAAATTTACACTGGGAATATCTTTTAGATCCCAAATTTTGGAGATAGGATTTCTATAACCCCCAACCAAACTTGAAGGAAAAAGAAGATAAAAAAATAATTCTGTCTTTATGTGCCTAAACAAATTTGCACGGAACCATCCGACTTTTTTGGAAATGATCTAGATGTTCAACAACTCAAAATCCAATATTTTTTTCTTTCAACATAATCATCTAGTTATAATTAGATGGGCCTTGAAATATCTTAGAAAAATCACCTACATAAGTGTTTTGCCTTGGGGAGAATATGTAGTATGCTCCCGAGGGAGCATAATATACACACTCTTAAAATTTGGGGGTGGCAATGGACTCGGAACGTTCGGACCTTAGGGGTAGACACGATTGGGGTTCAGATATGGGTTCCAAAATTGGATCTGGTGGGTTGGGTTTAGGTCTAAATCTTGTACCCGAACACTATTTATTTTTAGGGGTCTAGTAATATTTTTTGGGTCCCACTATATGAAGGAAAAAGTTTATGTAAAGTTGCAACTTTAAAATATATAATTAAAGATGCACCTCAAAATTTCATAGGAAAATATCGTTTTAATGGTGAAAAACCTTTTAATTTATTATCTTGACATCGTGATGTATAAATTCTAAAAAATAAAAATAAAAAATTGAGTTCAAAAAACAATGCATCTTGCAACACATTATCTAAGCCGTCCATTTTTCTAGGTTTTCTTAAGCGCGTTAGTAGGGCTACTTTTCTGTTCAACAGTTTTGTACCATATTGACGTAGTGTTATTAATTTGACCTTCTACGTGGGAAAAGTACTGGTGGCCTACCTTTCCTGTTCAAATTTAGGTGACTTTTTTATTAAGTGTAACTTAATAAACCATTAATTAGGTTGCAAATTGCATGACAATTTAATATTGGAATGGTTTGACGTGGTGATTTAAACCTGATGATTTCTGAGGGTTGTTGATTTGGATGCCGGATCGGTTAGGATCAAGTCGGTTCTTAAATAGTATCGATCTAAAACTTTTTTTTTTTTTAGTTTTTTTAATATTTTTTGTCGTACTCATTTAAATACCCACCGTATAGAGCTCTATTTTGTTTTTATAATAGAATGAATTTTGATAATATTAAAAAATAATATCAATTTTAAAATATGTAATATATTTGAACAAAAAAGGTGGATCAAGTCTCATATATCCGACCTCAAATAGTTAAAAAAATGCTCATGGTGATGATGATGATCAGTATTTGAGCAATAAAAGTTATCTATTCTTTTTGTTTGACTGATTTTTTATCGAACTTAATTTTTACTCTAAAACAAACCTGTCAAAGCAATGATTTGTGGTACACCGCTGGTTTGGTGCGGCCTCAATAACTGTGGTTTGTATAATCAATGGCGTAGAGCAGGGCCATACCTCCAAGCACCACCCAAAAATGTTGCCCCTGGAATTCGATACTCATTCGATGGCCTGAAATATTATAAGAACAAATTCAAGAAAAGGGGCGAAGCATGTTTTGCTTACAAGTTATGATATTAATTTGGAAACGAGAATAATTTGCAAAATGGTGGTTTCATTCTCAATGTTATTGGGAAATGCAGTTTTGATGTGAAAAACTCATGAATCAATCATCTTTATCCATTAAAGGATTTGAAAACAAAATGAATTTCAAACCTTAAAAATGATATACCTTTGATGGACCTAGAAGCTTCAAGTTGTATTATCAATCAAAAATGAAAAAGAATTTGTAGGCTATACCAAGATTCCCAATCCCTTTAGAAAAGGAGCACTATCAAGAATTCAAGATAAGTGTTGTAATAGTAGAAGGAAAAGAAAGAATATTAACATGTGGATGTGAGCCCATAACATTATTCTCTGGTTCCTACAAAATGATACTAATATCTCTCAAATAAGGAAATATGTGATATATATAAAAGAAATAAGAGGATTGTATTAAATGAGTATTGGATTATTTTGGGCATATGAGAGGAAGTGATAACCAACCTGATAAATGTTAGAGGACTAACCTTCTTGACCTAGTTAGAGAGAGAACCAACTCCAAACCCCTAAGAGAGAGAAACAAACTATAATGTCTATAATAGGAATTAATGAGAGAGAATCAAACTTTAAGCCTCCATGAAAGATAGAAGGGGGGAAGAAACAAACTTCAAGGTCTATAATATGAACTAATGAGAGAGAATCAAACTCCAAGCTCCATGAGTGAGAGAGAGCTAATCTGTGTGACCTAGAGAGAGAGAGAGGGAGAGAACTAATCTGTGTGACCTAGTGAGAGAGAGAGAGAGAACTCACCTGTGTGACCTACTATTCTTCACCTCAACAAGGGAGACACCACCATAGGGAACCCCAAGACAAGGGAAAGCAACTGTCAAAGGAAATAGTGAAATCTTGAGAGAGAAATTTACCAAAAGAAAGTAAACTACCCAAACTGGACTATACTATGCTCCTGCAGGAGCATACTGCCAACTTGCTCCTCTGGTTAGAAAGCTACATAGGAGGATATTTTGAATTTATTTTCTAAAAAAAAATTTGATTTTGAGTTCTTTAACCAATCCGACTATCTAAAAAATTGGAATTGCATGTATCCGATTCTATGGCATAATATTTTTTCTATCTCATAAAGAGTATATTTGAAACTTTTTTGGTTGAAGTTAGTGGCTAGGTTGAAGAGATTCAAGATAATACATCCCTTAAATTTGAGATCCTCCAAATTTTTTCTATTGTGATATTGCATTCTAAAAATTGGCTAGTCTGTTTTCAATTCTATAGCAAAATATGCATTCTAAAAATTGGCGAGTCTATTTTCAATTGTATAGCATAATATTTTTTTGACACAGTTTTTATGAGTCCATGTAGAAATGAGTCACCTCTTAAAAATCCATTTTTGAGATGAATTTTTTAACTTAATTTTTAAGGACGTGTAATCTCTAACATAGAAATCATGAATATGAATAAATAAATAAATTTTAAAAATTAAAAATAATAATTATATCAAGAAAATATTTGAATCCTTATTTTCAATTGTTTGTTAGAAGGACCCTATTTGCATCCATCTCTAATGCTTTATACCTCGATAATCACAAATGTAGAAATGCAGTCCTCATGGCATGAAACAATTTTCCATATTTTTTCACAACATTGGAAACTTTTTGGTGGCTAGGCTGAATATAATACATCCCTAGCATTAGATATTCTACAAAACTTTACCTAAATTGTGATTTGCCTGTGAAATCAATAGACAGTACGGTCCCGCGGGAGCTCGAAATAAGAGAGGTGAGGAGGCCGTGGACAGTTGCTGAACCGTACCGATAGTGACATGCAAATCATTTTTAAGTTATTTACAAGGGCATTTTGGATATTCACCTCACAAATTGATTCCATGGTCTCCTGGTAAAACGAACAGGCCCAATGAAAACTTTTCACCACATAGAAACTGCTCCTCAGTGGGCGTTTCCCCTCTTAAGTTTTCTTCATTCAAGAAAATTCCCTAAAATTTCTCATTGAATTTCCTTTCATAGAAAAATCATATTGAACATGAATATTTACAGTTATTCCTATTTCTTGTGCTCATAAAGTTCATAAGAAAATTGAGGAAAAAGCATCTTTTAGTCCTGCCCCAATTTGTGGATTCTCAGGTATGCATTTTCTTTCTTTATTTTTTTCTTTTTTCTTTTTTTTGACCAATATATTTGAATTTATGTAGATAAATGGAGAAAAAGGTAATTCTTTCCCTTTTAGTTTCTGGGTTTTGTTGTTTATGAGGGATTGAACCATGTTTTTTTTCATGGCTTCTTGCTGTTTTGGTTTCTTTTTGCTCTTGCCTTTTAAAGTTTTTTGAGTTTCAATTTTGGAAAGTTGTAACAGATATGTCTTTTGGGCTTCTGGATTTTGACTGAATTTAGAAAATAATTTTGGGTTTTTAATGGATTGGGGCTTCTTTGGCTAGTTCTCTTGGAATTAACGATCTAGGTTTATGTTTTGAGATCTCCGTGGTATAGGCTTCTACTGAAATTGTGGGGTTTTATTTGGAAATTAAGTTATCACTGTGTAAACCAGATGACTTGGAATTTCCCCTTTGTTCAGATTATACTAATCTTTACACCTGGAATTCTTCTGAAGCAGGATTTTTTCCTTGTAACCGATGTTGGTTCTATGTTTAGGGCCTTTCTCCTTTTCGAAACAGTTGAATCTCTCTCTCTCTCTCTCTCTCTCTCTCTCTCTCTCTCTAAATTTTGTACTGTCATTTCTGGGGAAAAAATACTTTTTGGAGATTTGGGTGTTTGGATTCTCAGGTTAATGGCATTGAATGCTAGTTTTCTCTGGAAATTTGTTGTTCTTCTTTGTTCTTTTTTGAAAAAAGGTTATTCAAGTGTTGGGTTTTGGCATATTTAGCTGGATTCATTTGTACGGTGAAATTATTTACTGAAATTCCATTTAAAAACTGGATTTCATGGTTTTGGGTGTTGAGTTTATTGATGTTATTTTTTGGTACTTTTTGCATAATTCTGTTTACTTTTCCTTATTGAATTTATTGTGTTATTAGCAGAAGAATGATCAGAAATATTTGGTTTCTTGCAGTCCTTCCTTGGGGTTTCAGTGGATTTGGCAATATTTCCTGAAGCTCTATGAAAATCTCAATATTTGGTACTTCTGGTTTCATTCAGGGTAACAATAAAGGGATAGATTTATAGCATAGTACTTTTTTCATTCCCTTCTCACATTAATATTCTTTTATTACCATGTGGATTTGATATGTCTTTAGAAGCTCTCTGAACTCTGATTTAAGGGGAGTTCTGCCTTTCCTTCAGTTTAACAGAAGCATTGGGAATCATCTTTCTTGGATTTCTCTGTAAATCTGCATCTGCCTTTGAAATTCTGTAAACTCAAGTGTGTTTAGGGATTGGGAATCGCTGTTTCTCCATGAATTTGATCATTTGAGAGAATCTAAGAGGAGACTGTCATGGATTCTATGTTTTGGTTAAATGAACATGAGGTCTTTTATGAGTCTGAGTAACTGAAGAATGCGACCTCTACAATTGGAATCTTGCGAATATTTGCCTGGGTGCTCTGTTGAGTTCAGCATCTATTAAGAAACTCCATCCAAACACGCTTGTTGGATTCTTGGATTTTTTTCAAGGATTATTGGGTTCTTGGTTTTGCTCAAGTTCCACAGAAGAATGATCCCTGAAGCTACTGGAAATTCCTCAGTGGACATACCTTCAGAATGTGGTGACGAGTCAGTTAATTTGGAAAGAAATGGTGACCAAAGATCTCTATACACTTCCACATCTAACAAGGGCTTTCTCTCCAAGAATAATGAAAACCCTAGGTCCAAGAAATCAATCTTCATCACAAATCTGCCAACTAGAGCAGGGTTTCTAAGACTGAGTTCTCGAAATCTTCTACCTTCTCCCTCAGCCAGATTCCGACGCATTGCAGAGGAGAGAGAAGAAATTTCACGTTCGGTTCTTCGTCCAAGCACCCAAGGGACCAAAGAGGGCTTCAATGTTCCATTTATAGGAAGTATCAATTGGGTTCACCTAAAAAATCTATGCAAAGAATGGATCAAGAATCCCTTGAACTTAGCCCTACTAGTTTGGATCATTGCAGTTGCCATCTCTGGTGCAATTCTCTTTCTAGTCATGACTGGCATGTTGAACAGAGATTTGCCAAAAAAATCACAAAGGGATGCCTGGTTTGAGGTCAATAACCAGATTTTAAATGCACTCTTCACTCTCATGTGTCTCTACCAACACCCTAAGCGATTCTACCACCTTGCCCTTTTATGCAGGTGGAGACCTGATGATATACTGAAACTTAGAAAGATTTATTGCAAAAATGGAACCTATAAACCCCATGAATGGACCCATATGATGATAGTGGTAATGTTATTGCATGTCAATTGCTTTGCACAGTATGCACTATGTGGTTTGAATTGGGGGTATAAAAGATCACAGCGCCCCCCAATTGGGGTCGGTTTATGTTTAGCAGTGGCCATAGCTGCTCCAGCCTTTGCTGGAATATATGGTATTGTAAGTCCTCTTGGAAAGGAATATGAACCTGAAAGCGATGAGGAAGCTCAGATTACTGCTGGTCTAGACACATCGAGGCCTAGACCCTGTATGTTAAGAAAATCCATGGAGAAGAGGTACTCATTTGTTAAGAGGGAGGATGAAAATAGGATCTTGGAGACAAGGCCTGAGTGGAGAGGAGGTTTATTTGAATTTTGGAATGATGTGTATCTGGCCTATCTCACCGTTTTTTGCACTTTCTGTGTGTTTGGGTGGAATATGGAGAGGTTGAGGTTTGGTAACATGTATGTTCATATTGCCACATTTGTTTTACTATGTTCGGCTCCATTCTGGATCTTTAACTTGGCTGCTATCAATATTAACAATGAGGTTGTTAGAGAAGCCTTAGGTTTTACTGGCGTTGTATTGTGTATTTTTGGGTTGCTTTATGGTGGCTTTTGGAGGATTCAAATGAGAAAGAAGTTTAATCTTCCTGATAATGGGTTTTGTTGTGGGAAACCAGCAGTGACTGATTGCGCTCAGTGGTTGTTTTGCTGTGCTTGTTCTCTGGCTCAAGAGGTGAGAACCAGGAATTATTATGATGTGGAGGAAGATAGGCTTTATAGGAAGAGAGAGCAGGGAGAAGGATCACCAAAGCTATCTCCTTTGCCTCGAGAAAATGGGTCGGTTACAAGTTCCCCTTTGTGGAATAGTGGGTCTAGTCCTTTGGGTCATGGGACCCTCACCAGAGAGAGTCCCACAACGGCCGCATCAGATGAGCAAGTAACAGTGGCAGTGGATTCACCTTCTTCTAGTAATGGAGGGGATGCCATGGAGCCCCCTTCCCCTGTTGTGATTGAGAGATTTTAGTCATCTATGTATACCCTTCTCAATATACAGTGGCTTTTTGTTGTTCCTTGCACTTGCAAAGTTTTGAGGTGGGCATGGGGTTGAACCTGGATATCTCCATTTGACGAATGAGGGTGGTGGGAGCTGCTTCTATGCTTAGATGGTTAGATTTTGATTCAGCTGAATTTTATGCTTCGGATATGGTTCACTTTCGGAGATGATCGAGAGAGAGAAAGAGGTTCTGGGCTTGGACCTCAGGTTTAGCATCAGCAGTAGACCCAAGTTGTTCTAGTCTTTTGATGAAATACACATCTCCTCTGTTTTTTTTCTTTTAAGCTTTTTGATGAAATATACATTAATGGGCATGAAAAAGGCAAAGGGAAAAATAAAAAAAAAGGAAAAAAAAGAAAGAAAAACTCAAAAAACTTGAACTTCTTATGTCTTTCCATAGCAAAAAGAGGTGAGATTCAAAGTTACTGTTTTCTTTTTCTTCTGTTTGCTGCAGCCATTTTACAGTGAGCTGGGCTTTGTAGACACCAAGTTACATGAGCCATCAATTTGAAATCGAGTCAATTCCATTGCTATTTTAACAGATAACATGCTTTTGAGAGGGCTCCTGAGTGCTTTGGGTTTTTGTTCAATTGCAGGGCTTTTTACTGAATCCACGAGTTTTACTTTGGGTTCTTTTTGTAGTGCTCATATCAAGGCCCCATTCACACAGGATCATGTCACATTCGCATTAATAGCCAGTGTCACAGGTGGATCCCATAGAAGAATGTCATGGTCAATTATTGGAGAGAGGGGGTTGTCTTAAAATTTGTGATGTGCCACTAATCATGAAAGTTACCACAAATTTTGGGGCATATATTTACGACCTGAGACTAGTCCGTAGCTTATGTTTACAAAAGAGAGAGAGAGAGTTCAGGCCGGGGCAGAGAGGGCAAGAAGGTTTCGGACCAATTTGGGTGGCCCGTCAAAATCCAGGCCTGGCCCAATAAATATTTGTCTTTCCCGTGGCCCGGGCTCGGCCTGAAGCCCACACCAGGTCCGAATTCGCAGTCTGGCCCGGACCATTGGAAGCCCTAATCCTAATGCATAGGATCCCCTGGGCATCTAGAGTATTTTTTTCTTCCAGAGTCAATGGTCTGAATGGAGCCTACCTGCTCCTTAAACCACCCAAGCCCGACCCCGAACTTTGTCCGGCATTTTCGGGGCGGGTTCTGGAAATTCATCAACCGCGCTGGAAACTTGGTTTTTGAAATATATTACGTGGTAACTTCATTTCAGTTTATGTTTTTTGTTTGAAGCTTGAAAACCTAAAAATTGGCTTGTTTAATGTCGATCGTTCATTAAATAGTTTATTGTTTAGAGACCGATATATGTCCAATGAGTTAGATTTCTTGGTAATGTCCAATCAATAATAGGGCTAATAACTTAAATAGTTCAGTTAAGATCAAACTTTCTTGATTTATTATTAATGGGTCATGTTGTTATTATCTTTTTACTAATAAATTCTTTTTTTTTTTGGAAGTTGTTAACTTATTATTATTAAATTCTTTACACACCATCTATTAGCCATCAAATTACTAGCAATAGATAGATTATTTTAGAAATTTTTTAAAAATAAAGCTTATTGTTGGGATGCTCAATTCGACTTCTCGAAATCCATGATTCTTGCCTCACAATGCATTAGTTTGGGCCAAAACATTGTAGGGCTGGCCTAGCCCGGTTGGGCCAGCCATGAAAAACTAGGGCTTGGGTCGAAGGCTGACCAAGGCCAGAATAGGGCTGCCCAGGTCCTACCTTTTTTTAGTTTTTTTTCTTTTTTTTTGTTCATCGGTTCTATTAGCCAGGCCTAGCTCGGACAAAGCCACGGCCGGGCCTGAGCAAAGGCCTCTTCAACCGGGTCTTGGGCAGGCCGCCCTATAAGGCCCCACTATAGGCCAAGCCTGGGCTACGTTCAAAATTCTAAAACGGCCTGTTGCCGAGCTGAAGCTGCAAAGCTCTTTAGCATTTAATTTACTTGCCCTTATCTCAAGTTGAAATTCAAAAAAAAAAAAAAAAAAAAAAAAAAGGAAAGGACAAAAACTAATGAATGCCCTGAAAAGAAACTCCTGAAGGTACAAATAAAGCACATATTATAGATTTGTATCATCATAATGCAACTTTGTGAGGGCACTGCAGAAAAATAGCTCGTTTTCCATGGGTGAGTGAGTGTAAGGTAGTGGAAGGGGATTCACAAAAATTGGCCCCCATGATACCACTAAGTAGATGTGTAGCGTAATTAGTGTAGAAAACTAACTGAGTCATTCTTTCAGATTCAATGTCCATGCCATTTCAAAGTCCTACATATTAAAAGTTAATTTGCAGGATCCCTTCCTATTGTAGCTGGACTACGGCCGGGTTAGGGCCAGGGCCGGCCCGTCTCAGGCCCAGCCCTTTGCTACCCCTAGTAGCAGCAATCTGGTATACATGTCCTCCTATCGGCGATCCCACAAACACAGCCAATCACACCATATGTACCATGGAAGGATCCACCACCATTATCATAATTCTATTCATAGAGAAATCTTGGGACTATAGAAATCTGCATGATTAAAGATTACATAGAAAAAACTAAACTTATATATTTGTATAAATAAAATAGGAAAAGTATACAAAGAGACCATTTATTTTAAGTATAAACAGGCCACAATTCAAATCGGGTTGTTGTAAAAGTGTCATTGACCGGACTCAAAGTTTTAAAAAAAAACAATCATCAATTTCGACCTCTTTGTACTAAAGATAAATGATCTCCTTGTAATAAAGATAAATGGATTTAGTATGTTAACTACATGTTTAGTGTACATTGAATTTTGTGCTTTTAGTATACGATCTCCAAGTTTCCATCAGATCAAACTTTAATTTCATTAACCCAAACAAAAAACAATCTACAAGTTTCAATCAGATCAAACCTTAATTTCATTAACCCAAATTAAGCCTACGACAAGATACTCCACTTCAAAGCTCCATTCACAGCACAAGGACCGATCCACTTCAAAGTTCCATTTACCACGCAAGTTGTACTCCACTTTAAAACTCCATTCACAAGATGATGACTACTTCACTTCAAAGCTCAATTCACAAAATAAGGCGTATCAAAACAAATTGAAGAAAAGCATTGATATTGATTTATGAAAAACCCCACCTTGAAGCTTAATTCACATAACAATCATCCATTATTAACCAAAAGAAGTAAAAGAAACATAAATTTACAGAGTTTTAACATTGAGTCGAAAACAATTTCAACTACCAATTCCAACTACACACATTGAAACAAAAAGAGTATAAAAATAAATAAACAGATTAAACTCTGCAATAAGTGCGAAATCACAATCCAACCGTCCTGAGCTTGATAAGTAAAAAAGCAGCATAACTAGACATCACGCACAGAAGAAAAAACAAAAAGCAAGAAAAATAAGAAGCAATCGTTAGTACGTCAGGATTAATGGTTGAAAATCTCTTATTGCTTTCAAAGTTTCACAAGAATCCCAGAAGGCCATGGCTAACTTACTAAAAGGTGTACGATATATAATAATTTGGGCCTCCTGTGTTAAAACATAAAAGAAAAGGATTATTCTCAAGAAAACACAGAATAAAAAAAACCAAATCAGAGGCACAGTTAGCTGCCCAAATAATTAAGCGTCGGAGTAAATGGATAAAGGCCATGTAAAACACCAAAACCAATTGGATCATGCCACTTGAATTGCCAGTTTGATTTCCTTCTCCCATGCTCATTCTCAGGTAAAGAGAGATCAACACTGCACCAATCGAGTTGAGCAACAAAGAGCGAATTACAATGCGGTACCACGAGCGATTTCCAAGTAATTTTAGACTGAAATCTTTCATTGATTGGGACACTGATAACTTTCTCCCAATTCTTATCTTCCTCGATCAGCCCCCATATCTCAAACTCACAATCTCCAGCCCTATGAACCAAGCAAACCTGGCCCTTCCACTCCACCAATTTGAGTAACCATTTCTTACATTCTTTCATGGTTTGCAGAGGCATTTGAATACGTTCTGAACTTTCAGTCTCCATATCAAAGGCAGACAACATATTCTGGTTGTCTTCTCTGCAAACTTGGTAACAAATGCCTCGCACGCAAATGGCCGGCCGCTGCCACGATGTGGATGCTGGCAAGCCTGCAACCTGTTTCCAATGCCCAGCGGCTGAGCTGAACACAGCATGCTCTTTTCCGATCAACAACTTGAAATTGTGGTTCACAGGGTCGAAATAAAACGCTATAATTTCCGGAAGGTAATAAGGGTGGACCGGAAGGGTGAGATGTTGCTTTGTTACAGGATTACAGACATGGATACTGGGGTTTAAGTAGGTTGTATAACACAACATGCCATTGCTGCAGGCCAATTGAGTGAGACTCTCACCTCCTGATGGCGGCCTTACCAGCGGAGGGGATTCGATCGAATCTTCTGGGGTGATCCGAATAAAGGAGAAGCCAGTGCGCACAGGGGCAATCGCATCAGAGAAGCCCGAGGGCACGGGAACTATGGCAATGGTGTCCGATGGGAAGGTGGTGGAGAGAGAATGGATTCGCGCAAAATCCTTAGAAGAAAGGAGTTGTTGCCATGATTTACATACGCATTTGAACCTGCAGATGATTTCTACCGGAAGGAGGGATAGAATGCGGAGCAAAATGTCGTCAGGAAATTCATGGGGACGTTTTCTCATCTCTGATTGAATTCGAAAATTTCATGGGGACGTTTTCTCATCTCTGATTGAATTCGAAAAGAAAGACATTCATGGTTTCTCATCTGAATTCGAAAATAAGGAAATTCACGGCAACGCATTCTCAAGTCCGAGTGGATTCGAAAACAAGGAAATTCATGGCAACGCTTTCTCAACTCTGATTTTCCCCTTTCTCATCTGAATTCGAAAATAAGGAAATTCACGGCAACGCATTCTCAAGTCCGAGTGGATTCGAAAACAAGGAAATTCATGGCAACGCTTTCTCAACTCTGATTTTCCCCTAAGTGAGAGAGAGGGGTAGATGAGAGAGAGAGAGCGGGTAAGCGGCTTGAAGATAGTTGAGAAGGAACCGTAAAAGCTACCTAGAGAGAGAAACAGGGGACATTTCTTCTCGCTCTAGAACGGGGTCTTCGCACCTTCGCGTCGCAGGTATTACATGTTGGGAAAATTAAAATAAATAAATAAATAAAATAAAATAAAGTTGGTAGAGAGTCGAGGCTCTAAACAACCAAATTAAATTAAAGCCCACCTCAAAAATTGCTCAAATATCATGAAAATATCTGTAACGTATTTTTGGACCGTCAATTTTCAAGATTTTTAAATTTTTATAGATCCGCTCGATCTACACTATTTTTTAAGCTTTCAATTTTATAATTAAAGATGAAAATATATTTTAACGCTATCACAAATATTTTCAATTTTGAAACCACATTTCTCGATACTATTTGAAGGTGGGCTCTGATTTGATTGTTTAGAGCCTCGGCCCTATACAAACCTCACCCAACAAAAAAAACCAAAAGGAAGCGCAAACTACCCTAAACAAATTTTCTTGTTTTTTAGCTTTTACCTCAAATTGAACTTTTCGAGTAAGGACCCGGTTTCTATGCAATCAAGAACGCTATGTAGAAATGCGGGCCTATTAATAAATCTATTATTGAGATAGATTTTAAGACTTGATTTTTAAGGACATGTAATCTTTAACATGGAGATCATGAATATGAAAGAATGAATAAATTTTTAAAACTATAAATAATAATTCTAATAAGAAAACATTTAGACAATTAGATTTCATTGTTTTTAGAGGGAACGCCTACTTGCATCCATCTTCAAAATAGATGCTTTACACTTTCTAGACCTCATATGTAGAAATGCGGTCCAATCCACATGAAATAATTTTCCTTCTAGTAAATACCTCCAAGTAAAACAAATCATATTTTTTTGAAAAAAATACCCATAGTGTCGGACCGCCCCCATTTTGTATAGAACCGCATGCCCAAAGTGCCGGACTGCCCCCACTTTGTGCCAGACCGCATACCCGAAGTGCCAAACTGCCCCAATTTTATGTCGAACTGCATGCTTTCCAGAAACAAAGTGCCGAACCGCCCCCATTTTGAATTGGACCGCTCCTATTTTATGCCAGGTCGTATGCTTTCCAGAAGCAAATTGCCATACCGCCCCCATTTTGTGGCCGACCGCATGCTTTCCAGAGGGTATTTTGGTCTTTATTTTACCTTTCTTTATAACTAAGGGTATTTGCTAAGAAATTTAAATTTGGAATCAAAAGTGAGAAAAGGAGTATAGTTGAGGTTAAGTTGCCTAGGGAATCTATTAGTGGGGGTTATTGTAACTTTCCCTTATATGTTCCCTCATGAGCATAGTTTACTCCTACTCCATCGGTCAAAGAACAATTGTTTGCGGGGCTGGATCACATTTGTACAATATGCTGTACAGAGGTATAAAACATCCATATCCATCTAAAAACAATTGTAACTTATGGTTCAAATGTTTTTTTAATATAATTATTATTTTTAATATTTAAAATTTAAAATTTATTTATTTTTTCATATTCATGATCTATATTAAAGATTATATATTCCATGTTGGACTTCATCCCTTTTCACCGACGCTAAATTCTTTGGGCTGCAAACAATCACTCTGATTTTGTTTCTTTATATTGTGTTTGGTCCGAATAGTTTTGAAAACGAACAAATGCAAACCCCCAAGACTTCTATGTCCATTTTAGACAGAAAAAACAGAACTTACACTTTTAGTGAATGAAAATGGGGGGATTTTAAACCTGTTTCATGTTCAAGTGGAGGAGTGTTAACTACTGGTTACTTGACAGTATTGCTTTCCTCTCTTCTTTGTGTTTGTTCTTTTTGTTTTCCTTCTTTTTTTTTTTCTTTCTTTGCAGGATGCTTACTTATGCTGCTTTATTATTATGGAGCTCGGGCAGTTCGTTGTCATTTTCTACTGGTAGGGAGTTTAAACGTAGTTTTTAAGTCCGTAAGCTTTCTGTGTAAATGCATATAGTTGGAAATGAATATTGAAATTGTTTGTGTTATTATGTTAACATTTAGTAAATGTAGGCTTCTTTTTTATTTTTAATTTTTTTTTTTTGGTAGATAATGGATTCTTGTTCCTAGAAATAAATTTCAAGGATGAGATTTCCGAAAGTCAATATGAATGCTTTCTCTTCTTTTTTTTTATACATTGTAAATGCCTTGGCTTGTGAAATGAGATTTGAAGTGGAGTAGTCCTTGTATTGGGGAATGGAGCTTTGAGGTGGCTTAAATGCATATAGTTGGAAATAACGTGGAAAGCTTAATTTTGTTTTGTTCTCTCACTTTGTAATTATCAATACGAATAGTCAAACTTTATATTAAAAAAAATGCATATATGTGGAAATGAAGGTTGAAATTCCTTTTTGTTACTATGTTGATTCAGTAAATATAGGATTCTTTTACTCTTTTTTTATTTTTAGATAATGGATGCTTTGTTCTGTGAAATAAGCTTTAAGGCTTCTTACTCCATATATCAAATTGTCCTTGACCTCCCTAGTCCTAAGAACCAAGCCCACCCACTCAAATAGCCGGCTCCTTCCAAGACATGCTAACCTGCAACTTGTTTCCAATGCCCGGTGGCTGAGCTCAACATGGAAAGCTCCCAGCTTCCAGTCATGTCAATAACTCCCTACTCCAATTGAAAGTGTGGTTCTTGGAATAAAACCCTAAGATTTTCCGACAGCAAATTTCTAAACAGAACAATGGAAGGGTGACACATTCCTTAGTTACAGAATTAAGCACATGAATAGTAGGATAAGGGCTTGAATAGGTTCTGTAACACACCATGCCAGTGCTGCAAGTAGTAACATGCCATTCTCCAGAGGTCCCATGAATGGCATTTATTCGAATATTTTTGGGTGAAGTTATCGGGTCCAATGGAAGGCATTTATTCAAATATTTTTTGGTGAAGTTCTCTGAGACCCGAACAAAGGACAAGCTACACTCAAAATACAAGGGGTTGCTGGTTCCAATGACAAAGGAATCAGAGACCAAGGCAATAGTGTCAAAAGGCAGAGTGGGGGAGAGAGAATGGATTTTTGCAAATTCCTGAAAGCGCCATGAAAGTCCTGAAAGCCACGAAGTTGTTGCCAAGACGCATCTGAGCCTGCAGATGATATCTATGGGGAGGAACGATAGAATGTGAAGCATAATTTCATCAGGAATGTCAAAATAATAAATTTGAGAGGAACGTTTTCTCTTTACTTATTCTCCCTCTACTTCTGGCATGACTTACTGATAAATTTGAGAGTAACTGGTTTGAGGAAGGACAAATGAAAAGTTACAAAAAAAATAAATAAAAAATAAAAAATTAAAAAAAATCAAGACCACACCTTTTATGCGACTAACCCCAACCCTAACATTTTCTCACTTTGTCTTTCAAAATAAACTTGCTATGCAAATACCCCCGAAAAAAAAAAGTCATTTTTTTAGATGGAAGTGCTCTTTTCATACACAAAAATCCTTTTGACCAGATTTGATGTTTACTTTTGGATTGCGGTAGCACATTGTCGGAACACACCATTACATTTTCGAAGCGCATAAGTGTTAAACCGCCCTAAGACAACCATCGGACCGAAACATACTACTTCCGAACTGCCCTTATATAGTGCCGGAGCCTTACAATCCAATAACATCTACGACTGGATGGTAGATCACATTTTACACAGTGTCAGAGCCCTACTAACAAATACTTTACATAATGCCGAAACCCTACTGCCGGACCGCATTTTACATGGGCCCTACCGAACAATATTATATAGGGCCGGAGCCCCTATTTTGAAAGATAGAGGATAGAGAGGCGTAGATAAGATAAAAGTAAAAGAGAGTAATTTAGCCATTTTTTATTTGGTTGGAGGTATTTGCGTTGAAAATGTATTTTTGAAAAAAAAGTGAGAAAAAAAAGTTAGATAAGTTATATAAAAAATGCAGTCTTGGTCTTTTTTTTGTTTGTAATTTTCACAAGAATAAAGATGGAAGAAGGGGGAAACGTGAGAATCAACGACTTTGTATCATCGGAGGGAGACTATTGCAGTAATAGGTTAGGGCCAAGGTTTAAACTTTCTCTCTCTTTAACGTTGCAGTTTGTATCACTTGCAAATAGTATCGAAAAATATGGTTTTGATACTAGAAAAATATGGTTTTGATACTAGAAATCTTTATCATAGCCTTAAAATATGTTTTTATCTCTAATTATAAAATTAAAAGCTTTAAAAATAGGGTAGACCGAATGGATTTATGAAAACTGGAAAATCTTAAAAATTGATGGTCCAAATATGTATTACAAGATGCATTATTTCCAAAACTTGAAATCATTTTTTTTTTTATGTCCATGCATCTTGATGTCGAGATGATCAATTTAAAGATATCTAGGCATCAAAACAACGTCTTCTAGTGAACTCTTCTATTTGAGCTCTAATTTGATTATTTAGGGCCTCGACTCTAAATAAACTTTTCCCTTGGAATATTATCTATATAATCCCTCTTCTAGAACTTACCTTAATAATATGTTTTAGATACCAAATTCTAGGGATACGATCGGATCCCGACAAGTAATTAATTTTTTTTTTGTGATAAAAATAACTATCTACGTGCCTAAAAATAAATGGTGCAGTTTATATAAAGTCGAGGATCTAAACAACCAAAGTAAAGCGCACCTTCAAATACTGTCAAGAAATGTGGTTTCAATATAGAAAATCTTTGTGATAGCCTTAAAATATGTTTTTATATTTAATTATTATAAAATTTCAAGCCTAAAACATAGTGCAGGTTGAATAGATTTATAAAAACTTGAAAATGTTAAAAATTGACGGTTCAAAAATGCATTACAAGAAGCACTATTTCTAAAACGTGAAATCCATTTTTTTTGTCTCATATCCATGCATCTTGAGGTCAAGATCAATTTAAGGATTTTTGGGCATCAAAACAACCTTTTCTAGTGAACTTTTTTAGTGCACCCTAATTTGATTGTTTAGAACTTCACATGTAAATTTTTTCCCAAAAAAAATGGCATCTCCCACTAGAATCATCTAACTTTGGGAGGAATGATCTAGATATTTAAGGATGCAAAATCTT